CTTCAACTGGTGGGATCTAGGTAGAGGGCCTTTTCTGCTGTGGCCCCCGCCCTATGGAACAATCTGCCTCCCGAGGTCTGGTGTGCCCCCACTCTCATGGCCTTCAGGAAAGGGGTGAAATCCTGGCTGTGCCAGAAGGCCTGGGAGCTGGATGGGGGCTCGTACCAGTTGAGGTGGTTTGTGGCGTGACTGACCTTACCCCCCGCCCCCGTCATCTTGAATGTTTTTAGTATTTATGTACAGAGTTTGTTTTTTATATTTGATTTTTAATGGATTTATTTAATTTAATTATTTATGGGGTATTTTTAATTGTTGATGGGGGTTTTGATTTTAACTGTGAGCTGCCCAGAGTCACCTGTTGGGGGGAAATGGATGGCATACAAATGTAATAATAAATAAATAAAATAAATAAAAATAAACAAATTTTGTTATCAGAGTGGCCAGTCAGATGCCTCTTGAGTCCTCCCCAGCAGGAGACAGAGATGCAGCCCTCTCCCATTGCTGTCCCCCTACAACGGGTATTGGGAGGCATGCTCCAGATGTTTTAAATAATACCTATAAAATGAGATTTAAATTTTCCTCTTGGACTCAAAATTAGCTGATCCATAGGAGCAATTATTATATCTAAGATCGATATATGAATACAAGCTACACACTTCTGATGTTAACAAGAACACATGCCACGGAATTGCTTTCGGTGTTGGTACCTGCTGTCTCCATTGCATTTATTTGCAGGGCTATTTCAGATTTCGTTACAAGCAAATACACGGCATGAAAAAGTATTCAGGAGAATAAATCACTATCTGTCAAGTATGGATTGAAGATTTAGAAGAAAACTTCTGGCTCTTCACAGATTTTCACACAGTGGGGGGACGTATTAACTCCTGCTGATTTGCTAAGATGAGACAGAACAAAGGCCCTGAAGTGGGATTCTGTAGCGTGCACCTAGTGTGCGACACAGCTTTGTTTTCTAACTTGTTTTGGCTTGGATGCAGGTTATTTAGAGTCTTGGGGTGGGGGAGAAGGAGCAGAAAACAAAAGCCTGTGGTTATAGATGGTGGGATTTGCTATGGCAGTAATTTGGAATGTATGAAAAGCATGTGGCAGCCATCCATATTACC